GGCATAGATGCCGTTTGCGCACGTTCAGTTCTGAGATTCCGTAACCTCTCATTGCCTCGTTGGCAGCGAGGCGTGGAAGTGAATGGCGTCGTGACGGACGAGCTGAGCTCTGGCCAGGCAAAGAGCTGTGAAATGCAGCAGCTGTGGCAGGACCTGCTTGAAGGTGCCTAGGGAGGCTTAGTGTAGCGGAACGAAGCAGTGTGTCTGGGGACTCGCATAATCCCGAAATCGTCATCACTGAAGATTGTAGCCCTGCGAAGATTCCAGAGGGATGCAATGAACACGCCGTGCCCAGTTTCCTGTGTCCTGAACCATGCAAACTGAGTGTTAGTCGTTGTAGTCGCGCCGTACTGGATAGTAGTAATAGTAGCGGCTGGGCTAGCCGATAAGGATTATCCGGCCGACGAAGTCTACAGTTTTGAGGGGTCGACACCTCCAGGACTAAACGGGTGTCCTCAGCCGGCATCATTTATCCAGAACGGGCCTGATCTCGAGTGCTTTGTCATGGCCTGTGGGAATTTATCCAGCCTATACCGGGCAGAAGCGTGATGACCGGGGGCGGGGTGCCTGGTAAGATGACAAAGATAGGTTAGCACTGAAGGTCAGGCTGCGTGATATCATCCAGGTCGTAGGTGCAAGAAGGAAGATTTCGAAGGCCAAGCTGTGGTCAGGAATCTCCTCGATGTTGCCTTGGCATCTCCCTCATCTCCACAGCTCGCCAAACAAGGAACACGGAAGGTCGGGAAGATGCGTAAGAGCGAAGTCCTTCGATCCGCCTGGCCGCTGCTAAGCTCACGTGTTTCCGTCTCTGGAGGAACCTGCCCCAGGGTGCGGTGGGAACACTTGCATGCTGAAACTAAGTCGCGAACAAACAACCAACCCAGACACCGCGCCCGTCTCCGAAGGCAAACAAGGCAGACAAGCAAGCCACAGCATGAGCCACAGCATAGTGGCATAGGGCCTTGCCGGCACAGTGCCATGACGTGCTCAAAGGCAGTGAGCCGCACTTGCAGCGTCTTGGAATAGAAGGCCTTTAGGGAAAGGCAACAGGCAGAGTCAAATCGCAGCATGGACGTGACAAAGCCCTTTCGGAGTTCCTTGAGTCTTGGGGTGTCAGCTGGATACTTCGTGCATGCCGCACGGGCAAAGAAAATGGAGCAATTTCATACATGTCCTCCGACGCCCTTGAAACAAAAAAACCTAGTACTTCCAGGGGCCCAAAAGAATTTAGCAACAGAGATTCTTGACCCAACCCCACAGCCATGATTAGGCGCAGAAATTCACTAAATGAACTTGCCAAACTGTGGCCCTTGCGAAATCACAATGTTTGTATCTGGCAAATTGCACCGAGGACATCCGAACACCAATGGCCAATGGAACCTGTCTGGAAAAACCTTCGACTAGAGTGAGCTTGAGACTGACTTGGTAAGCCAGATTCAGAGGTGGCGCGGTGGCACACTTTCAAACAATTGGAGGGATTTGGAGGGGAAATCCGGAGTTGAGGTGCCAGGAAACCATACGTTACCAAACTTTTGATAGAAGGCAAGCTCGCAGGAAATCGACCGAGGCATGTGTTGCTCACTGCACACATTGTTACACAATGTTTTTGAACGCAGCTGAAGCCAAGCATGCAAGAAATCAAAAGACCTGGAGTCATTAGCAGAGCTAGTAAGCATTAACAAGCAGCTAGTACTAGTAGTGTACTAGTACTGGAGTCACTACAGTCAGATACTGCGCGTCTGCTGTTTGGATCTTGGAGCGAGCAGGCTTTCGGCTTTGCGGACGTCATGGCTCTAGGCGTCCACGGGTTTGAACAGCCTTTTTTGACACCATTCAGGTGAAGTACTTAGACTGGCAGACTTGAGCAGTGCTTAGACGTAGTCTAGAAGGACCCTCAAGGCCTTGGCTGCGGTAGTTCTCCAAAATTGGTCCAATGTGTGCTGATGCACATCTCACTCCTGCCAGGCATGCATAGCCATGGTGGTCACCGTCTCCCCACACCCGGCATGGCTTCTTGGCTGATCAAAAGACCGGCCAGAGCCGCTGCCCAAGACGTTAGATGCAATTGACGTGAGGTCTCTCTTCGTGCCACGACGAAGGCAATGGGCAATGGGTATGTGTGGGGCACATGTGGGAGCGCTTGGTCTTATCGAGCCACATAGCAGGAACAACGAGAAGGTTTTTCTGGTACTGTAAGCGAGTCGATGAACATGATATGTGACTTGCAGACGACGAGCTTTCTGTCACGAGCAAACTCGCGTGTGGGTTTGAGTTTGATTTGAGCTGTGAGGATCACGGCCCCACAAACACGGTGCGCTTGCCGTGCTGTCCCTGCGCTTAGAAAGCATGCAACAGTGTTGGCATCGCACATTCGTGTGTGCCCTTTCCACGAGATGTTTGGAGCAAGGCCCTGAATGCTGAGGTTGCTTCCTGATACGTGCCGGTGCTGTACGGAGAGTGATGCAAGAGCTGCCAGCAGAGCAGGCAATGTCGAATTGACGACATTGGCAAAGCATGTGCAAAGCAAGAGATGCCGTTCACAGATGTTCACAGTATCTATGGCATTTCTGTGGATTCTGTGGTTTCTTTTGCAGGCCGGACTGGAGCCTTTGATGGAGGTTCTGAGTTTCTGGCTCAGGGTTTGGGACATGAAGGTTTGAGCGAGGACAAGGTTGATATGTGAACTGGCCGAATGTACCAAGGTCACAAGGGGAAAAGCAACGACTTCCTCAAACCACTGCTGACGCCTGTCAGCCTGTCTTTGACTGCAAAGAGCGAAAGTGTGTGTGTGTGTGCCACGCATGACTAACTTAATTCCACCACCTCGTAAAGATTTGCTTGCCAGTGCTGTGCGCACGCCACGGTCAGGCCAGGTTACGGTACGCTGAACCATACGTAAGAATCCCGAACCTCAAACTGGGGTTTTTGGGAGCTTCTTGTGAAAACACCTCCACAAATTCAGGTACCCTTGGTTTCATAGTCCAATTCCAACTTATTCAATTGAGGAGCAGGCGCCGCTCCTCAGTTTCTTTATGGGCGTTCCCACCACCGCCTCGGCTTTAAACGAACTAGCTCCTCAATTTCACTAACTTAAGAAGTCCAGCCCCTTCATTTCAAAGGTTCGAAAACAATGCTGTCACTGTACCCGCAGGATGGTACTTGTGTGGAAGCTGTTGCCATAAGGACTGTGCTGAAGTGCAACGAAGCTGCCAGGCCACATGTGTCACGGCCCAAGGAACCCTCGTCAAAGCACACATCTTTAGCTGGTTCCCTGAACCCAAAAACTCTCAAAAACACTAGTTTTCGAGTGCCAGTCAGGCTACGCTGCTCGACAAGGCCAACTAGGGCAAGGGATGTGCATCTACATATATAGTACATATAGACTTGTAGAGGCAGTTCGAAGCCTACACATATTGTTAGATAAGTAGATAGATAGATAGCTAGCTGCGCATGCGGCAGCTGCGCTTGTAGCATGTCCGACGTTCTGCCAGAGCATTCGCCTTGGGAATGCAGGCATCTTTTCTGTGAAGGGGAGCAGGTCGTGATGCAAGGGAAGAGGACAGAGGCTTTCTACACATTGCACTTCGCTAGCTGGGAGGACGGAGCTTTGGCATGCTGAACTCCTTGGTGTGCAGATTGAAAAAAGGAGATTTGAGGGCCTGGTGCTGGTCCGCCGTGGTCTCTTGTCCTTGCAGATCAATGGTGTGGAGGCAGTGAGAGAACTTTGATGATCTTTGGAAGCGCACATAATTGACAGTCTTAAGATGTCTTACGTGTCTTACTCGTAAGAATTGGCGCTTAGAAAGTGTGGGATGGTGGATGGGGATGCTGCAGGCGCGCCGCATCTCTGCGGGCCAGGCTGGCACTGGACATCAGCAAGAAGCTCTTGCTCCCCCCCACACGTCAAATTAGTTGCCGAAGTTTTGCGTCAATTCTCATTGCGTTATGATCCTCCGCTCTCATTTTCTTCTCTCTTCCTCTCTTCTTTTCTCTCCCTCCTCGTACACCACAGGCACAAGACACGTATGTCAGCGCTGGTGGGAACTCGTCACACTGGAAAAAACAAGAGAGCTGAGTTAAAACGGCTTGCTTCACGCGTTTATAAACTCGGAGGGGTGGTCCGCCGGGCATTTTCCGATCTCTGCTGCTACATTGAATAGTTGGCATTTCCCCAGCTTAAATGACTGTCAGGGCTGTGCTACCTTCCGAGTAAGTACACCTAAAAGTCATTCAAAAAAAGCAGGCCCTCGCGATGTCCAGCATTGCGCGGCAGGGGTTTCCAAATTTATGATTAAGGCTCGTGCTCACATAGATCATAAGTCACCTCTGCTCCCGCAGGCACCACCAGCCTGGGCTCGGCAAGCTTCATTGGCAAAAGTGTGGATCCGCTCCTTCGTAAAGTCCTGGGTGCGAGCCGGGCTGGGTTGGAACGCAGCGGTTCTTATGGTTCTTGTTCTGATTGGTAGCCCAACGTACAGTACCACTGCTGGGGAGCCACGCGTGACCCGGGACCCTCTGGCGTCGAGGGACATCCCCGGACTTCTAGTATGAGCTTTTGACCCTGCTTCCGTTCAGGGTCCCGGCACCTCAGCATATCTGAGCCGTGGGCATCCACAAGTGGCATGTGCAACCTCTCGTAGTTATAGTCCTTCCGCATCTCACTCACTTCACTCACCAATCGGATTCATTAACTCCCTCTATTTCGCTCCTTCTCCAAACTCGCTCACTCACCAAACTATAGTATAGCACTCCCCAAACTGACGCTCACGTTCCGAACATGCTCTCTCACCAATCGCACCAAACTCGATCTTTTGCTTCTTCTTTTCCGTGTTCATCTCCTGTTTTGCATTGCAAAAGGCAGACATGTGGGAAGGCCCGTTCCTTGATCTCAGCTTCAAGACGTTTTCGTTGGTGCAGGTCGTTGGTGAGGATGTGCTGCTGAATGTCTCCGCAAAGTGGAGGCCCGCGTGCAGGAAAGAGCATGCTTCATGAGATGCAGCATGGCCTTCGTGAGCCGTCAGCTACGCGTGCGAACCAATTTGCCCTTGTCCACTCTCCACCTCACACACCACAAGTTTCTGCAGGTCACTGCACAGGGCTACTGTACTTCAGATGCGTTCGACTCGTGTATGTGGCTGCCAGCATGGGAGGTACAGCTTAGTTTGCTTGTCCTTCTGTGACATCGTCATCCTCCATCGTAGAGCATTCGCTGCCGCTGCCTGACACTTGGAAGATTTGTGCCCTGCGACATCAATGAATGATTCGTCCCGAGCGAATTCAGGTGAAGAATGTCAAAGCGCCAGGCAATTCAGAGGACTCGCATTTTTGTGGAAACATGGCTCCTCATTCCTCATTGCTTGCATCCAACGCAAACATTTTCCGGTTACAGTCTTCATCTCGCAGCAACTCTCTTCCTCCACACTGTTGCCACAGTACTCCTGCGTTTGAATATATTCAAAAGTCCCTGACAGGAGAGTCAAGAGTGTCAGCGCCTGCTCTCGCTCCTCGAGGGTCAGTGGAAAGAGGACGCCGAATGCAGAGCAAGCTGGAGCGGCAGGAGTCTTCACCCAAACGTGCCTTGAGACAAGGAGGCGGTTGTTGCTTCTCCGCCGCTCTTCCATGGATTCGACAACAAGTTCCTGAGCGGCTCGGATGGGCTTGTGGAAGAACAGCCTTGCCACTCAGGGAGTTACAAATTTCTTGAGCTCAGGCCTCCTCCCACAGCTTGTGGAGATTCTCGGCTTCATTCCTTGGTCGCGCGATGTTCCATTGAAAGCTTGTGTGCGCTTGCCTGAACAGACCACAGAAAGTGCCCTCGGCCGCGACGCTGGCGCCAAAAGTTTCTCTGAATCGCAACATCTTTCTGATCTACAATACAATACACCTTTGCGCATGCAGCCGAGGATGCGAGTAGTGCTGCCAGAGAACGAAATTTGGTCATCCACTTCACAGGAGTCACTGCCTTGACCAGCCTTGCAGTGCAGTTTGATAAGTAAGGAGTTTGCAGGCCCAGAGGACCACCCATCACCAGCAGAGCGAGCGGTATTACCTTTCAGATACCTGGCCAGGACGAGTGCCCAGAGTTCTCGCTCTTCTTCCTTCTGAAAGGGTCTGCCGAGGAGCTGGCAACATCAGAATCGTAAGAGTCACCTGCAGAGAAGTGCGAAGAGCTCGAAAATGCTCGAAGGAGATCTTGCCAGCCCAGCGCAAGCGCAGAGGAAATGCCCCGCAACTGCATTGGACATTGCTCAATTTATAGGGAGGCTTTTCGTTGAGACACATGCTGAGTCGGATGTGAAAGCGCTCGCAGTTTGTGCCTGAAGGTCAATGCAGAGATCCAGGCTGGACTCCGTGAGTCTTGTGTTGCCCAGAGCTGAAGCAGATTTGGAGCGAAGCTTCGTCTTGATGAACACCTTAAGGATGTCCACGTACCCTGACACAGTTGCTGTCAGATCGGCACTTACAAGGAAACCGAGGCCAAGCGGCTACAGAATCTTCAACAACGTGTCGGCGATGTCGTTGAAAACGAGGGAGAGGGAGAGAAGGACACAGCGACAAAATGCAGAGTTGTTTTTGGTAGCCAGCATGCTGGACTGTTTGACCATCACGCGTCTAGACAGTGTCGTGAATGCCGCTTGAGGCCGACAGCAAGGGTGAAGAATCATGTCGATGGCACAACCATCAAAGAGCCCGTGCTTCCCGAGCTTGCTATACTAGGTTTGCCTGTGTCATGCAACAAGGAACTCGGATGTCCGAAGTGTGCCACATCAATGCTTGTTTGTACTCAGAGACAGCCGAAATCGGCTGAGCACATTATTGCTGGTTCATGCTGACGAGTTCATGTTTCATGGTGGTAGTGATCTCGGGAAAAGGGCCGTCAGAGGCTTGCTAGGCTTGCTAGGCCTGAGCAAGACAGCAGAGTGAGGTATTGTGGGAAAGATATACTTTAGCCGAAATATGTTCATCGACGGAAGTGTTCAGATGATGGAGCCACGGATGAGGAAAGGAGTGAAAGGCTAGTGAAAGGCGGGTCCGTTGCGAGAAGCCTTCAATGGCTCAGCACGAAGGCGAGGTCCGTTCTCGTTTCAGTAATTTGAGGACGACCAGTTTCCGCAAAGGACATCAGACCATGGGGTTATACAATGACTTGGCGGGCAAATCGGACAGTCAAACAGGTGATGTACGTTCCATGATGCAAGTCTTTGTAGCAGCCCAGGCGTTGAGCGGAGTGAGAGGAAAGTGGAGACACTGTCATTTTGAAAATGGCGTGGGGAAGAAGTTTGCGAATCCTCTGAATGGTTGTCGTTCGTCGAGACGCGCTATTGAGATCGAAAAGGTTGATTGGAAATCCCACTGCAAATCAACATGTAGAATCAATGGCGCGATGACCCGCAATGACTTTGTGGTATTCTGGGTACCGACGAGGTGCCAAATGTGCCAAGTCACAGACGGGCTTGCTAAAGCCAGTCGGGGTTGCAACATTTGCGAACAGTTGGCTAACCAGCTTTTAGATCAACCAAGCCGCAAGCCAAACAAGATTTCTGTTTTTTGCAGCTGACCTGTCTTGTTTTTTCTTACGCGGTAGACGCTGTCACATGTGTCTGGCACAGCCGAGGTTGCCTGAGCCATGTTGCGCAAATATGCTGAAGCAAGTTAAGCCTTCACTGGTGCGTCCCTACTCAAGACAAGAACCCATAAGAACCCCCAAGTCGCACGAACACACCGTTCAAAGCCAGCTGGGGCCACCTCGGCAGCTGTGTGCAGTGTGCATGAAGTTGCGCATGCGGTTGTAGTCGTCTTCTGAAAATTTTCCTTTCACAATTTCTCAGTAGCTTTCAGTAGGACTCTCCAGGTCAGCCTGGCGAGTAGCTGCTGCACCTCCCTGCGCAAAGTACAGTATTAGTCATTGCCGAGCAAGGGTGGTGTACTGGCTTGGCAGGTGAAAGCACTTCGCCGCACCATCAGCCAGGGCGCTTGCGAGGGCGCTGCGCACATGCTGTCCTTGAAGCAGGCAGCGAAGTGTCCAAAAAACAACACACATCACCGGGCTCATGGGCAATGAAAGAGGATTCACGTGTGTTAGTATGTCTTGCGTTTGCAAGCGACCCCACATCCTCACCTCCATAAAACTATATACGACGCCACACCCTGCAAGGTGTCTGCGTCCATCCAGAGATTTCAAACCGCTCCAAAACCCATTCTTTGGTTGGAACTCTGGGGTGGACATGTCAGGACCCGCATTCACAACATTGGCGCGTATGCCCGAAGACCGTAAACTGAATACGTTGCTAGCGAGAGCCGAGGGCGTCTTGAACCTTAAGAAGGCTCGAAACCGAGACGGTCCTGAAAAACGGCGGACAGACGCGAGGGGACCATGGACCTGACTTCTACCAAGCCCCGGACCCAAAACACTCGATTTGGACGCTTCGGCTTCTTTCGTGCCTGACGGAGAAGGTGGGTTGCTCTCTTAAACGACTTAGGCCCCAAGGCCTCGGCGGACACTGTCCGGATTTCAGCATCCATCTCGTCTCATCTCACATCTGTTAAGAGGATAGAAGTTACCGCACTTGAGCTTTTCCCATGAGAACTGCAGCACCCAAAAAGTGCATATTGTCACATGTCCGCCGGACGTGCAGTCCCGCTTTCAGGGGGACATGAATTCTTCCCTAACTCAATGTTGAAGACCGGGATCAGCAAGACGCGTTCTTGACTTTAGAAGTTTTGTTGCGTCTGGTCCCAGAATCCTGACCAGACTCATTCACTACAGATGGCCTTTGGCGACAAGAGAGAGTTTCCAGGAAGGCGAACGGAAGTTCGCTGCCTCGACAGTGTGCGTTGCCGCTGTGCTGCACAGGAAGGCACTGGCCCCTGCAGCGTGAGCACTTGTCAAGCGCTTGCATACGAGCTTACGTACCGCGATAGCCTATGAAGTGCTCGCAGGTTTTTCTTCATCTGCTGCACAGTCAGAACGTGCCAATCCAGGCAGGCCCACAAAATGAGCACACGTGACAAGTCTCCCTCTGCCTTGCTGCCTGGCCATCGGCATCCGTCAGTATCCTCTGTCCGATGATTATCGATTTGTCGAATGTCGTGAGGCTGTGGAGATGCTCCGACTGCTTGAGGAGGCCTGGAGCACCGCATGGGGCATTCGTATGACTTTTCCTGCGTGTCAGATGAGTTTTAGTGCCCTCTAGGCACTGGACAAGAGCGAGCCCCTCCCGGACCACACGTTGCCTACTGCCACCGCCCACAGAATCGATGTGCGCGTGTGTGTGTGTGTGTGTGTGTGTGTCCCCTCTATGTAACATACGACAATCCAATTTTACCGACGTAGAGGAGCGTAGAGTCAAAAGCCAGGCGACAGACAAGGCAAGCTGCACATAAACTGGCGTTGTTGTGCGGAACCCGCTACTACTGCAGCATCGAAGCACAGGATTGCGAAGGCAGCACAGACAGGGGCATAGGGGTCAGGGAGGGTCACAGGAAGCTTTGTACAATCCAGAGACTAGTCCGGTCTTGGTGATAGCTCTTGTCGGTGCATGTGCCAGCATCTCTGTTGTGCAATCATCTCTGTCCGTGCTGAGTTCGAGATGCTGGAGACGTGCTTGCCACTCTTTAGCGGTCTGGACGAGGCATGTCATGCCATGAATAGTCGCCAAGCATTTCTTCAGGTACATGTACAGAAGCTTCGACTTTCGATTTGGGCAACCCCGTTTTCCTGGCTATCAAGCCCACAGACGCTTCGACAAGCACGTGCGCAATTCGAGGGTGCTCTCGACTCCTTCTGAGGAGAGAATTCCTCAAAAACCATTTGCTTCCCCACTCACTGAAGGAAAACATCCAGCCCCTCAATGTCTCATGGTAAGAATCCATCCCCCTCAGCCCCTCGTCCCCCGAGTTTGAGCTCGCAGGGGCGCAGCCGCTCGGCGAACCTCCAAACAAATCCCACTCTTGACAGTAGCCTGATGCTCGCACCCTTTACAACACCAGTGCTCGAAGCTACCAAACCTGACCCGGATGCGAAGCTGGGCGAATTCTGAAGCCTGGATGGTGCGACCTTGGACGCTGATTGTCTTGGTACTGCCTGTTTCAGATGTAATGTGTCGCAAGTTTGCTGCAGAATGTTGTGCTCGAAAGAAGCCGCAGCAATCACTTCATTCGGTAAAGCTGCCAGAGGATTGTGTGACATGCCTCCCTCAGTCTGTGTGTTCAAGATGATGCATCTGGCAGGCGTTCATGGGCTCGATCTTGAACGGCGGAAGCAAACGCTTCTGTGATTCAATGGCTCTAGAACCTTCACCACAAGCAACAAAGCTTTTGAGATTGATGCGTGATTCGAGTCATTCTACGTGTAGGCGGGTGGTCCCGCGGGATGTATAACATGTAGATGATCCTCAAAGATTCTGTCAGTCGTCAACTCTTGATCATCCTCAAAAAGCTCAGGTGTCTTTATCACGTTTAGCTGACACAACTCAGTCACCATTCGACAGCGACGGTCTTTGACCCGCTGGTCGACTCTGAAACGTCGTTATGTGAAGTGCTGGCACATGTGCCCACTGCCCACAACATGACAGCAGCTATCAGCAGCTTGTGAGGCTTCTACATGGAAGGGCAGCAGCTCTGTGCGCCGAAGCATCGCTCCGATGCATGTTTTGCTTCTTGGCGTTGATTCAGCGCATTTCGGCGCCTTTGCGCATTTCGGCGGCGTGCGCTCAGTCTTCAAAAGTTGTCGTTAATGTCTTCAGCATCTTGTGCAGCTGCGCACTGTCAAGGTCGTTCTTCGCGGAGAGGTGTCCATAAGAATGTCAGGTGTTACCCTGGCTCCTTGGCTGCATGCGAACATCGTGGCACATGTTCTCACGCCCTCCACAAGGCATATTTCCAGTTCTACACACCTGTCAGGCAACTCATCGCCGTGGTAAGGTGGGGGAACGCAGTATCAAATGCAGTAAACGCACGCAGCAAACGAACAGAGCCTCTTCAAAAACATTCTGTTTTCAATCTCAGCTGGCCGAAGCCTTAGAGCTATGTACAGCTATGCCTTGTCGCAGGCATTGCACATCCTCGCGTTGGCGGCGGGACCTTTCATCCCTTCCTACGAGACGCTGTGCCCTGGAATTGACTGCAGCATAGTACAATATATTACGTCACTCAGCCGTGCAGAAGCATGCAGAGAACGGCATGAACGATCTCAAAGACGCAAAGACACCTGCGGCGATGGAATGGCTTATTCTGGCCACTTGCTTTCGAGGTGCGTCCGTGCCAGCGAAGTTTGGGTTCTTTCACGCACTGTGCTGATGACCTCCCTCGTGTCTCAGCTGAGCTCAATGGTTGGACGGTTGGCCATTTGAAGCCTCTCCGTCGTCTCCCTTCTGAACACTCATCCGTTCTAGTTTGAGAATTTTGAGTTGCTTTGGCGGTGGCGTTGGAGAAAGCTCATGCTACGCATACTGTCATGTCCAGAGACAAAGCCCTTCTGTAGCATGCGTCTGGGCACACGTCAGGACCAATACCCTGCCATGAAGAGCATCCTTGAGCAGTTGACCACACTGCAAGTGGCCAGGCGATTTGCTAAACCTCGGCGCAGGTTTGCCAAGTTCGAACACTTCCGCCTTAATTAGACACTGGATGCACTGGCAGCACGCGCACTCCAGAGCGAACCTTGCCCACAGTAGTACAATTTGCTACGACTTGCCACACCTGCACACGATCGGATTCTGGAGGCTCACCGGGATGTCGGAACCACAGGCCTGGGCGCCTCTCATTAGCCCTGTGAGGACTATGACTCACACTCAAACATATTCATACTAGACGGGCCTACTGTATACTTTTAATTTTCTGTCTACTCAAAAGGCGGATTTCAAGTCCAAGCTGCATGCCCAATTGGTTAGGCTCAATGATTCAATGTCCACCTGAATGTGGTCTCTCCTCGTGTCTCACTGTTTTTGAGACCACGTGTATAGTAGTACGTAGTAGCACGTTTAGTGGATTCTTGAGTTAGGGTGCACCAGAAGAGAAGCCAAGCACGGCACAGGAGGAAGACTCGGAAGACGACTCCGGTGTCATGCAAGGGCTTCGTGGGCTTGGTGCACAACTCAGTCCACTGGAACCGCTGGAACCGCTGGAAGCCTCCAGGGGATGAATCCCGGAAGTCATGTCGCCTACAAACTTGGTGTTCATGCCAGCATCTTTGATATTTCGATACCAGTGCATTGATGGGGCATGCTTAGTAAGGTGACAATGCAAAAGAGCCTGCCGAAGCAGATCCAGATTCCCCGATCGATCTGGCTTCACCCCTGGTGTCAATGCAGATCCTTTCTGAGTCGATCTGACCCTGAGGAGTTGAGAGTTGCTGGGTGATTAGTGCTCTGGCTTGGCAAGCCAAGTTGCTGCCACAGTGACAGCCTGAGGCTCAGCTGTCCATCTTCACCGGTGTTTCGAACGAGTTCCTTCACTGGATCCAAGAAAATCTGGAGCCAAGGACATGTAAGTCTGTTGAAGCATCATCGGAACCGTGTGCACATGCTCCAGTTCGTTTTCAATGGCGGCGTTGGCGAGGCTTCGACATAGTCTCGTCGCCTTGCTTTGCTATTTGTAGGATCCTCTTCTCGGATGACACGCTGTTTGGCCACTTGGCAGCATCCACTGCTTGGGCAGCGCATCACCACCAGAAATACACGGACTCAGGCGAGGGCGAGAAGACAGAAGATCTGTACATTGTCTGCAAGGCCGACTTCGTACCAGTCTACTCAAGTGATGCGTCGCTGTGTACAAAGGTGCGTGCCCATGTCAGCACATGCAAGCACACGTGTCTGTATGGCCAACTCCGTTGCCAAGAGATCAACATGAGCAGGGGGAATTAGCCCTCGTGGAGCAGCCCCGCTGATTTGTACCGTCTCTAGGAATTGAGGTCACTCTTTGACTCGTGCTGACTGAGGATTAGTTGACAGCAACGCGTTCTGATTGTGTTACATCGGTGAAAGTGTTAAAGCGCAGGGTGGATGCACATGTGTGTGCGTGTGTATTCACATTTGTCTGTGTGTGGGTGTGCGTGTGCGTATGCCCGCGTCCGCGTGTGCGTGTGCGTATGAGATGCGTATGAGCGTGCGCAGTGTGCGCATGTGTGCGCATGTGTGCGCATGTGTGCGCATGTGTGCGCCGTGCGCATGTGTGCGCCTGCGCACGTGTGCGCGAGCGCGCGTGCTCGCGTGCGCGCGTGCTCGCGTGCGCGTGTGCGTGCGTGCGCGCTTGCGTGCGTGTGCGTGCGCGTGCGCGCACGTGTGTGTGTGTGTACATCTTGAGATATAGGATACGGTTTGTCGCTGCAGCTCCGAAGATTTGTTTCACTTGCAGGGGGGCACGGCGTCAGATTCCGGACCGTGCCTAACAAAGCTACGGAATCTGATGGGAAGCAAGGGCTGATCACCCTTGTGTACCTGCTCAAAAGTCAGTTCAATTTAACATCTGCTAGAGCAATGTTGATGCTGCAATTATTGCAGAAGATGTTGATGCTGCACTTAGTGCAGAAGACGTTGATGCTGCACCCAGTGCAGAAGATGTTGATGCTGCACCTAGTGCAGAAGATGTGGATGCAGCGTTTGCTGAGGCCTTATCCCTTCAGGAGATGGTGATTTTCTGAGTGTGTGTGTGTGTGTGTGTGCGCGTGGGTGTGTGTGTGTGTGTGTGTGTGGGTGTGTGTGTGTGTGTGTGTGTGTGTGTGTTTTTTTTGTGTGTGTGTGTGAGTGTGTGCGTGCGTGCGTGCGTGCGTGCGTGCGTGCGTGCGTGCGTGCGTGTGTGTGTGTGTGTGGGTGTTGTGCGTGTGGTGTGTGTGCGTGTGCGTGTGCGTGTGCGTGCGTGCGCGTGCGCGTGCGCGTGCGCGTGCGCGTGCGTGCGCGTGCGCGTGCGCGTGCGCGTGCGCGTGCGCGTGCGTGCGCGTGCGCGTGCGCGTGCGCGTGCGCGTGCGCGTGCGCGCGCGTGTGGTTGCGTGCGTGTGTGCGTGTGTACGTGTGTACGTGTGTGCGTGCGCGCGCGCGTGCGCGCGGCGCGGGCTCGTGGGCGTGGGGGTGGGGGGGGGGGGGGGGGGGTGTGGGTGTGGGTGTGGGTGTGTGTGTGTGTGTGTGTGTGTGTGTGTGTGTGTGTGTGTGTGTGGGTGTGTGGGTGTGTGGTTGTGTGGGTTTGTGGGTGTGTGGGGGAGGGGGGGTGCGTTTGCGTGCATGTGTGTGTGTGTGCAGTTGTGTGGTGATGTCAGTTGATGCCAATTGTCATTCATCTTTTGTTTGGAGGGCAGCATTTGCATGGAGACGGAGGAGCCGGAACGAACCTCAGAAGCTGCAAACACGAAACTGGGAGTTTAGACTCTATCTCTGCAAGTTGGGCCTTTCAACAGACGGGAATGTCCCTTCCTCGCCCTGGAAAAGATCCATCGTCGCAATTCATGGTATGCCGATGGTAGAATGAACATTCAACGCATTGTAGTTTTGACTCTCGTGAGGAAGACAGAGCAAACTCGGGAGCTCCATCACTGAAGTAAACATGCAGGCTTGCCAGATTGTCCCAGTGCCGAGTGTGAGCTTGCCGAGGAAACCTTCTGCCGCGGGTCTTGCTTCGGCGACGCCCACCTGTTGGGTGTGTCGGGGGCCCGACTGTGTGCAGAAGAGCGTCTCCGCCGCTCCGCCTGTCCTGACTCTGATTGGCTGCCTAGGTCGCAGGGAGCCGTGGCAACTGCCGTCAGCCTTGAGATGTCACTAGTGCAGGCAATGTCTGATCCAAACGCCTGGCAATGGCGCGGGTTCACGTTGCGAATGAAGCACGTCGTAGTATGCCGTCTCAACAGCGGTCCTGGTAATCATGTGCTGCTCTGCAGCATTCATGAAGGAAAGAGGACCCGACAGCTCCACAACTTCAAATGTCTGGGAGGTGCTGAATCGCCAAGTCTTACTGAGTGGTCTGGCACAGTTCCCCTCAGAGGCTCCCGCGGGGACGCCATGACACCATACTCGTCCATACTCACTTTGTGGGACCTCTCTTCGGCAGGCCGAGCACTTCGACAAGTTGACTGTCGCGGCCCCGAGACCATCCGAGACCTGTGCAATTTGGGAATGGGTGCTGAGAGGTGCTGAGATGTGCTGAAAATATCCTCACATCAGGTGGATCTTCTGGAGTCCCAGGTGGATAATGCCTCTTGGCCATGTTGGATATGTTGGAGCATCGGCTGCTGTGTGTCCTGGCGGAAAGTCAACATAGTGAGTGATGGATGAGTGCTGAAGCCGTGTCAGGCAGATCTTGGTTGAGTGGGCTGGTAGAGGATATCATATCTAGGATAATCAACATGGCGAGCTCGAACCTAGGCAAGTTGTCATCCAACTCCAAAGCCTCCCAGGTGCTGTATATATCTACAGCGATGGACTAACTCATGCCCAGAAAGCATTAGAGCATTTATCGCTTTTTGAACATTCCACGAGAGTCGCTACATGTTCGTAGAAGTACAGTCGGACCTCTCCAGTCTGATGCTTATCGCTTGAGCAGTTGTTGAGGTAATGGATCACGCTTCAGTCTTTGCTGATTGCTGTGAAGATTTCAAGCGGAAGGCCGTGGCAAAGGGCGCTCTTGCCTGTGACAGGGGGCGATTTGTTCGTTGCGAGTTGCAAAAGTTGCAAAGTTGAACAGCCCGAAGGTCGGGCAGTTGATGCACACGCGCTTGCTCCGAGAAGATGAGCCTCGACACATCTTATTTCGGAAGCCCAAATCGGTAGTACATGTAACTTGTAACCTTTCGGCAACCTTTCGATAATGTTTAGAGGTTAAAATCTAGTCGGGCAAAACAGGGCAGCAATACTGCCGGCTGGGTGGGGGTTCTTTCTGTTTGGACATGTTTCGTGTTTTTGGTGTATTTGTGTTTCTTAATGTTGGTTCGTCCGTCGAACCACTGACCCAGTCGTTCGGGCGGTCCGTGAACCCGCCTCGACCAACCGCCCCGCGCTTTTAAGCAGCGAAGGCTTGTCTCAACGATCATGCGAGCATCGTGCTTGCAAATGCGCCCCCCCCGCCCCACAGAAGTGCAGACATATTCCGATTTTATTGTATTCGGAAGCTGCGAATAGCTGGGTAATTTGGATGTCATTTGGAGCTCAGGAGGCATGAAGATGGTGGATTTTCAGTATTTGCAGTCATACTGTGTTGTTTGCATTCGGAAGCTGCGAGTTCCATCATGCGAGCATTGTGTTTGCAAATGGGGGGGTGGGGGCGGGTGCCCCCCCTTTTTTGAAGCCGTGCAAGCTTGCTTCTAAAAATCATATAAACCCTTTCCAAATGGGGGCGGGCTGCGCCCGCCCTCCCAACCCTCCGAAACCAAAAAGCAATTAGCAAGACCAAACCTTCTAACGCAAAATTTCTTGACCAGAACCAAAGTACAGCCACAAGAAATCCCCAAAGCACCAAAAAACTGAGTTCCATGTCAGCTCAGCTCGGTCTTCGGATCTCAGGAGTGTCTGGTGCAGAAGGGCGCCAAGAGAGGTCGCGGTGAATATAAACCGCTTTTGGATCTCCTCGTTGGTACATGTTTGGCGGCAAATGACAGCTTGCCACCGTGTGCCAGTCCGGATGTGCTGTAAGACTCTAAGCGCTTTGCTTGTGAAGGCTCTCTCTTCGTTGTTCGATCCGGAGTTGCTGTGGTCGAGGAGGCTGTTGTGACAAGTGTTGCATGATTGCTTTCGCTGAACCATTGTCTCAGCAATCTTTGATAGTTTCCAGATGTTGGATGTGTGTGTGTGTGTGTGTGCATGGCAGCTGCACCGCTAAGAGCACTTAGGAAGCGAGCCTTGCTACGAAATGCAGAGATTCAGTTTGCTTCAGCGAGGAAACACCGGCCACAAAGCTGGGACCTTAAAGTGTGTTGTGGAAGTCAAGGGCCAAGGGTTTCTAGGAGATCAACCAACATGCTCATAGCGCCCAAGCCGACGGAGTCCCTAAACGTTTTGGGCACGATCTTACGACGAATTGGATACGAAGGCCGGACGACGATGATGCCTCGGAGATGAGCGGATCCACGGACGAGACGAGGACGGTGTGATCATTTTGAGATGTGAGGTTCGTGAACTTGTGGTTTTCCGCCACGGCTGCGTTCATGGTGTCCAGGTGCCTGGAACAGTGGGATGTTGTGGTGAACTTAACAGACCATCTTGTGCCACAGTTTGTGCGGACGGTCTTTCTGAGCCTTCATGAGCCTTCCACAAATTTCAAGCTTCATGCTGTGCCTCCCAGCGCCCTCCGTCAGGGCCTCTCCTGTTTTTGCCTCTCGAGTTTTCAAATTTGAAGGCGAAGCAATGCAAGTCAAAGTGAAGCAATGCGAAGCAGTGCAGGGAACTGTGCTGGACATGTTTTTCGCAAAGGCCCCGCGAAAACCCGGACAAATTAAGACACTTCTGGGACCTTCAAGGTATGAGGTTCGAACTATTCCTGCATTCGGGCTCGTGAGTTGCATCAGTCGTGAGCAAACGGCAGTCTACTTAAGTGATCAGCCTGAGTCGTCTTTATGATGGTTTTCTGAGTTATCTGATATGCAAGAACTGTATGATGCAGAGGTCAATGCTGACGTGGTTCTGGGGCTTGTGGCAAAAGCTCCCTTCACAGTGGTCTCCTCAGTTACTATCACAGACTCGTAAACAGCATCCGAAAGTTGCAGAAGGCACCGCTTAGTCGGCTCAGAGGTGAAAGCTGCTGGCTTGATGGCCGTGGCAGAGATACAGGAGACAAGCAGAGATGTTTCATTCTGAGACAAGACTTTGGGACGGTCGAAAAGAACAGAACTACTGGATCATCTTGACAGTTGAGCTTCTGAGACTAGAGGCTCAAATCAGCGTATAGGGCTTCGAGCTTCTCCTGCGCACATCAGGGGCTTGTGTTTTCTGCTACTGGCGTGTTAGAGGCTAGTGCTCAGTGTGTCTTTGCAGGAATTAAAGAGTGCCTCTGCCAATCTCGGTCGGCACACGCTAGGACACGCACTTCATCAATGTACTGCGCAGCTTTCCGCTGGAGGTTCAAAGCGTCCAATGGACCTTTTGATTGCCTGTACTGCATACTGTTTACTCTGGGTATCTGTAGATTCGGTGACAGAGTGTCAAGGCGTGTTCTTTGCACGCCCGCAGGTGCCCAAAATCATTGAGTGCCTAGAAGGGATACTTTGGCCTGAGGAGGCGAGGCGTTGACGAGCCTTGCAAATTGCATCGAACTTGCTTGCTTGCTTGTTCAGGCTGAGCAAGTTCCGTCCTTCCTCAACGAAATGAGCCAGTCATACTTCTCCCAGCTGATAGAGGCAGATGTCAGAGCACATGACAGCACATCAAACACAGAAGACTTGCAGCCTCTCCTACATTTTGTTTTCCGAAAAGGCTCTTCGGGAAAATGTGTTGCTTCGCAGGTTCAAGCTTGCGCAGTCAAGGGCGGCCCGACAAAATGTTGAAAACGATGTAACCCATCCCCAACGACTCTGCAGCATGCATCAGCACATTTCCAAAATCCTGAAAACAGAAACCGCGATGAGGCGATGAGAGCCTGTGTCATTTGGAATATTGGTTGCTCGCAGTCCAACAGGCTAAAAACACACATGGCGGAGGCATCTGCTAATTCTGCTGCGTGTGTCGGAGGAGGGCATGCCCGCACACAGAACAGTTATCGAGACTGACGGACTGATTTCAAAAGTACCCGGAAATCGTACAATGCAGCTGCCACAGCTATGTAACTCAGAAATGTGGATCGACCTGAGGTCACACAAAACAGATGCTCGGTTCAGGCTTCTGTTTCCGGTCCAGAATGGGGCCTCAGAGCTTGCTGCAGCTTGCTGCACTTGCCATGCGCCGGTCTTTGAATCCTCGAAACATCTCGAAGAGTTTGTAAAACGTGCCGCAAGAGGGGTTTCAATATTGAATGAGTCGCTGCCAGCACCTGTTCTATGGCCTTTGGGCATAGAAGGCGCCAATTTCAGTACCAGTCACATTTGTAGAAATCATAGAGTCATAGAACTACAAGACCTGCTGCATGCAGGAGTCTGAATGGAGGATGTACTTGCCCGGCCGCAACGTTGTGAGGCCGCGCTCTGCAGAGGTCATGCGATGCAGACTTGCTCTGAATTGCAATGGCATCTCGAACACTGCTTCTTCTGAGTTGCTGTGTACCCTGCAAAGACTGTCGAAGAGCATATCCACTGTAACTTCCGGTACTACTGACAGCCCAAAGTGCAAAGCGAAAAGCTGCCGCGCTTGCCGCGCTTCCCTCCAAGCTTTGCCAAGCTTGCTGGGCTCGTTTCCTAGTCTGATTTCAGCTTTCATAGCGCTTTCAGCAGCGCAAAGCATGCGAACACCGATCTTCGGCACTTTAGAAGTGGCAGATGGCAGCACAAACCACGGGAAAATATGTTTGGCTCCTTTTTGTTCAGCCTAGCCAAGGCCTAAGCGTGGAAGTGCCATTGAAGTGCGTTTGACCTCACTCGCGAAGCTATATTCAGTGGCCTTCCTGATTGGGCCCGGGCTTGTGCGGCTTGTCTTCCAGCACAGAACAGCCTCCATGAATTGGTACACCGAAGCCCCGGCAATCGGATCACTCTGACTAGACCTTCCAGCCTTGCCACGTAGACAGCACGAGTCTGCACAAGATGTTCGCAGTCCGGATTCTGCTGCACTCACGAAAACGAGATGGCCTTCCGTTCAGGGTTTGTCTAATCATGCTGGGAGGCAAGGAATGGAAGGCAACGCTCTCTTTCTGCTTTGTTACGGCCTCGGCCCCAGAGCGTAAGCAGTGACAGTCGGGCGAACGGGCGAACATGGGCGAACGGTGTTTGTTCAGCCTATTCAATGATTTGGTATCTCGACACATTCAAGTAGAATAGACTAGGATAGATTCTGATAGATTAGGATAGACTCCAAACAGTCGCAAGTGCAGCTCGTGGCCTGCGGGTCTTGAGTTGTGATGGAAACTGAAAGAATGCTGTGTTCCTA